TGGGATCTGAAGAACTCAACAGTGTAGAAAGCTGAGTGATACACAATCCTGAGATAGTAGTCACTGTGTGTCATTTCAGCTGTTACACACCTGAGTAAAATTTGTTTTCTTCTGTTACTAATTGGTGCCACTAAGCATTGTAGTGTTCATAGAGGTTCCAGTGACAATGTGGAGATGGAGTTTTGAATTTATTTTTTTTCTTTATGGTGTCAGAGGGAGTAAAATAAAATTCTGGGTCTATGTTTGAAAACAGTCTCAGTTTTAAGTTCAACCCAGCTGTACCCTGAGGCTGAAACATGTCCATGTTTTGGCAGCAGAGAAGACTACCATATGTTGCAGTGATAAAAAAATTACACTGATGCCAATCTCTAAAGTCAGACATAAAAAAAATATCTAAGAGAGTATACTTGCAGCAATATAATTAATATAATATATTAAATATATATGAAGCATAAAAAAAGCATAACAAGTCTATATTTAAGGATCATTTTTCTGTCTCTAACAGTCATGCACTTTATAGATACTACAAGCTGCAATTCACTATTGTTCTTGAAAGAAGGATATAATCCATAAATCCATTCCATTTCTCTGTTACACAGAATTGCTTGCTGTCTAGCTCCCAGCTTTCAACAGCCACAGCGCAATTCCACTCTTTGAGTAAGTTCTTACATATTGACTTGCTTTTAGTGAGTACATACTGGGCATCAATAAGATTCTTTTTTTATCAGCCATTCACATCAGGCCTCTAAATGAGAGCATGGATGTGGAGCTCCTGAACATGGCTGGCAGGAACATGACACATTCTTTCTTTTTTTAAGGTCATTATAGAGTCTTGGTTTACAGCTCTCACAGGTGACATGGCTTTTAAAATTGCCAATTAGCTTGTTTCAAAACCAGCAATATATCAACTGTCTTTGATCAGAAAAAGACTATTTGTGCATATTGACATGCATATAATAGAATCTACTATAAGATCTGTTATAGGATATATATAGGATGCGGGAGTTCCAAACCACACCTACTACAACTTAATGTAGAAGAAAATATCCAGTGCAAAATACTGATCTCAAGTATAAATCTTGTTTTCTGTTGTAAACATGGAAGCTGCCATTTCTCATTGCTGAAAGAGGGCTGCTGATGATCCATAATGCTCACTGGCTAGGAAGCTTTAAATTCACTCCATTTAGCAGTATTCTGAAACTTGTTTGTGAGATTGTTAAGTTGCTGAGAATAGACAGTGGGTTCCACCAGCATTTTCTTGTTTTGGCCATTTATGTCCTTGAGCCATAGAAATAAATTATCGAGAGAAAATAAATTTGTTTTGAAGCAGAAGTTTGTGTTTTCTCTATATACAACTTTTCCTTTTCCACTTCTTCTCTTAAATTCTCACTGTATTTTTAAGCAGAGAAAAAAATCACTGGTTGTTTCTTCCTGTGAATTGCCAGAGTAAGGCAGAGATCTCCAAAAAAGATATTCACTCCTCTTCATGGCCCTCCCATCTCATCAGACACAGTAGAGTATTTCTTCTTGCTACTCTGAAACTGTCAGGTTAGCTCCAGAACAATTTCCACCATTGGTGTCAAGACATTTAATGCTGTTCCTAATCCACATGTATGCTCCTCAGTCATCCTCAACAACTAAGTTTTAATATCAAGTGGCAAGGCCTTAATCTGTGATATTGTTTCAGACATGTAAGAAATTTCTGAGTATAGGGAGACTGCCTATCATTTACCTTGTCACATCTGCACTGCGCAGTGCAGTAAGGTGTGATCATGGTGAAAATGGTAAGGCTCAAATTAGCCCTGGAACAAAAATAATGTTTAAACAACAGTTTTGTGTTGCACATGAGTTGACTGGCCCAGATAAGAAGTTCTGTCTTTATGACCCTGTTCTGAAAAACAAATGCTTAGTATTGCATTGCATCAATACCAATTTGCTTGAAGCTCAGAGAAACTGCATTATTGCACAAAAAGCAAAATGTACACCTGTTCATTCTCTGAACTGACCCTACAGTTTTCATTGTCTGCTCTGCAGGCTGAGGACTGTGGTATTTTAGGCTCCTTTAATGGACACCTTAAAGAATAACCATTCATCTGCCACTGGGCTTAGCTAGAGGTCAAAAGTGTTTTGGGCATTGTTAGCTAGAAAAGGTTTGGGATGCTGTGATGTGACATGCACATAAAATGTAATGTGAAAGAGTATTCTAGATAGAGATTTTGGGGATCTGCTGCTTTTCTGTTTAGAGCAGAGATCAGAAAACAGAAACTGACTCCTAAAGAAATCCAGTGGCAGGATATGAAATCTGCTCAAAGCAACTCTTGAAATAGTAAAGTGATGTTCAAGCTTGCTGAATTGTATGAGTGGCTCACTAACCGCTAGACTTCTGTTTTAACTTTCTCTCCTTTTTCTTTCTTTCTTTTTCTTAATTTCTAGTGTGTAGCTGAATGTTCTTCACTATCGTGAGACCAGTTGAAGGGCAGAAGCTCCCAACTCCTCAGTGACAGGAGGCGAGGTTGTCACTGAGCCTCACTGCAAAGCCCAGTACTACATCCCATCTGTAAATCACACCGATGCTTTACCATCCTAAACTGAATCCTGGCTCCCGGCTTTGTCCCTCTGGAAACCTTTCCAACGTTATTTCTGGTCCAAAATCCCTCTTCCCCCAGCCCCGCCATCCCGGGGGACATGCTCAGAGCTCTTCTGCAGATCGCGAGTTATTTCCCAGGCCGGCTCGGGCCTCCTCCCCGCTGCTCTCCCTCAGGACGGCCTCGGCGCGCCCTTGCCGCGGTGGGCGCCGGAGGGCGCTGGGACAGAGCGCGGTGCGAGCGCCGGGACAGGGGCACCGACGGAAGGACCAACAAGGCACAGGCCCGGCCGCTGCGCCCTGCGGCTCGTCCCCACCCCCGGCAGGTGCGGCTCAGCCGCGACGGGCTCTGCGGGGGCTCCGGGGCCGCCGCTGCGCACTGGGCGGAGCGGGGAGAGGAGGGGAAGCTGTTCAGCTCCTCCCGCTCCGCCACAGTCGCACAGCTGGGCCGGCGGCTCTGCGGCGCGGGAGCTCGTCCCTGAGGCTCGGCTGTCGGAGCGGGCTGCGGGCACCCGTCCCGAGGTGAGCCGGCGGCCGGCGCCGCTCCAGGCTGAGGCGGCGGGCAGCCAGAGCCCTCGCCGGAGCAGCCAGGGGTCGGGAGAGCGGGGAGGGTGCGTTTCGTCGTTGCTACGGAGACGGTCCGAGCGGCCGCGCCGACCCGGGCAGCAGCCGGGGGACGGCCACGGCTCGGTCGAACTCATGCGGGAGGACGCGGCCGGGGGGCGTGAAGCGGGGTCGGCTCCGGTCGCCGGGCCGAGCCGGGCTGCCGGGCTGCCGTGCTGCGGGACCGAGCTGGGCGGGAGCCACGGCTGCGGCCGCGCAGGTGGCGTGGCAGCGGCGGCTGCTAAAGCGGAGCTCCAGCGGGCGCCCGCCGGCATCTGCCGCGTTCTGCCGCCGTCCGGGCTTGCGGCCGCTCCGCCGAGCGGCGAGATCAAGCTGAAGGTCCTTGCCGGTGTTTAAATACACCAGGTCTCCCTCCCCGGAGAGGGAACTCCGCTCTTTTTCAGCTCTTGCGCTTCTGGAAGATGAAAGCTGCAGTACCAGCAGCTTCCAAGGTGTATCTGAGGTGATTAAATAACTCGGTCGGAGCGAGGAAAGGCTTGGTGCTTAGCGCCGAATTTCGCATTGGAGCAATCTCTCCAGACCGCGGCTACCTCCGGCGGTGCGTGTTGCGGAGGGCTCGGTGGGGGCTGAACTCCGCTGCCGAGCGCTCCCGGCCTGGTGGGCGGCCTGCGGCTGCTGCGAGCTGACGTGACACGCGCAGGCTGGACGGTATGGTTCCCAAGCAAGTTGGGTTAGTCCTGCGTGCATCAGCGGTAATGGCAACGCTCGTTAAAAGGTCAGAAGCAGAGCCGGCGTGAAGAATGACTGTAGCTGATCCGCTTGGATGGGACTGTTGGCAGGGGCAAGGTGTTTAACACCTTGCTGGAGGTCTTCATCCAAACCCAAAGTTTATTATTTAAGTACAGCTTGGAGAAATCGAGTGATACATGGAGCGAATAATATGGTTACCACCATTGCTTTAAAATCTCCCAATAGAGAGCTACACAGCATGATTTTGCTATGTAGCAAGGTTCACAAATGAACACAGAGAAATTTTTACTTAATGTTGGAAGCGTTTGGGGAGAAATGCTTTCATCTTTTGTCTGCATTCCTGAATGTGAATAATTTGACAGAATCTGTACAGCGCTATGCCGTGATTATGTCTGAAGTGCTAAGCGAGGTACGGTTTGTGTGAGAAACTGTTGTGGAATAATAAGCTCTTGCTTTAGTAGGTCACTAAAAATAATGCAGTCACACCAATTAACACCTCTTCAGCATAAGATTTTTTTTTTTTAAGATACAGTATTTAGAAAAATACCATTAACAATGGGATTTGTCGTGCATGTGAGCAAAAGTCTCCAATTTTTCCTGTATAAGCATGCATGGAGAAAATGTACATTTGGGCAGTTGTGGGGAATATAGTTCTTGTAATACTTAAAAGGGAGGCAGTAGAGAGGAAAAAGAGGTGTCTAGGTTTCTTCAAAAATGAGCCAGTTTGATTTGCTGATATATCTTGCATTCAATTCCATGACCAAGCAGGTACTTCTAAGAAAGGGAATTTTGGTATAGAAATTGATGTGCTGTGTTTAATGCTTAACAAATTAGGATGGTATAGGAAAAACACAGGATATCTTACTAAGCATTTTCTTTGTTGTCGGAAAGCCATATGATATTCTAAAAGTAAAAATATCTATGTAAACAAAAAAAAAAATCTGGAAGTTTTGCGTTTGTTTTCAGTTTCTTGTTTTCTTGTTGTTATGTTTTATTGGTGTTTTTTTTGTTTGTTTGTTTTTGTTTTTTTAGCACAAGCTCAGAAGTGTCTGAAATTGAAATTGGCAAAACGTAATTGGAAAATGTACAGTTTTTTCTCAGCTGACAAACTCACGATTTCTTGGCATCCACAAACTGAGCCATGATCTCACTTCAGTCTGTCTTCTTCGTAAGGATGTGAGCAACAAAGCTTGAGGTGGCAATCCCTGTTAAAAGGTCTGTGTATTCCCTACATTAATGAGTGAATTTGGCTCAAGATTGGTATTTCGAGACTCAAAAAACTCAGCATCGGAGAAGTTGGGTGTTTTTTTGTTTTTGTTTTGTTTTTCTCCCTCCCTTTGATCACTCCATTAATAATGAGGGGACCAGTGTACTTAGAGTTCACCTGAACTACCTATGGAAAAGTTTAGTTGAGACATCTGTAGCAGGTGGGAATTTAGGCTTGTATAGGCCTGTTCTGCAGGGGGTACTTGCAGAGTTAGGTGAGCTGGGTTTGACCAGGGAGAATACGTTTATTTTAAAATTACTTTTTTTCTTAGTTTTTTGGATTCAGAATGTGTTGCTTCTGCCTGAAAATTAGATATGGGTAAAACATAACTTCTATGACACAGCTAAAAGGAGTCTACTCAGTATGAAGTTCATAGCACTGCTGTGGTGTTTTTGATTGATTCTGCTTAGCAGAGTGTGATTGACTTAATGGTCACAGTAGTACAGGGAAATTATTATAAATTGGACGAGAAATTAGAATTGGATGAAGTGAGAAATGAAATAAATTTAAATGCTTAGCTAAGAACAGTTGGCAGTGTTATCAGGAGAAATTAACCAAACGTGACTGTCATCCACTGTCATTATGCTCACCTATGGTAGCCACGTCATCGTTCGCTTTATTTCTTTTTAGTATAAAAAATTATTCTTCTTATATCTCATCCACCTAAGACTTCTGTATGTCATCTGCCAGTGTGCTGTGCACTCTTGGACCTTCAATTAATCCAGAACTGATAGGGAAAGGGGGAAAAAAAAGAAGCAAAACAAAAATATGCCTTGGTTGAGTGTTTGTAGCGCAGTTCTTTGGAGACAGAGGAACAGTGTCGAAAGATAGGAAGTTACAGAAGTGTGATTTTAATGATGTATTTATTTATTTCCTCTCCACAAAAAGTACTACTTGGTTGTCGTGGTATATCTTCCCCGGTTTCCTGATCTGAGATGTATCTATTACAGTGAAAGATTCATAAAATCCTTGAAACAGCAAGTTGTGTTCTAACTTGGATGGCATTTTTACTGCTTCAGATCAAATTAGGGTTGATGCTACTTGTCTCATTCCATATGCTTCTGCAATTGGAAGAGACTGTGCTTGTAAGTGGGATTCTTAATTTTCTAGGCTTTTAGTAACTTGACTTCACAGGAAACTTAGAAATTATGCTATCAAATTTTGATCTTTGAGAGTAGAGAGCAGATACTTCTCATGGTTCTATTTTTTTTTATTAAAAAAAAAAAAAGTATGTTGTCTCATGGATGCGATTTGCCTCTGATTAAATTTTGGGCTCGAAACAGTTTCTGTCTGTAATTTGAGAATAAACACGTTTAAGAGAGAATCTCATGAGGGATACTCCTGATGAATCTGTGGAGAAATTCCAGGGACTCCAGGAAAGATCAGGAGGCAGTTTCGGGACTAGAAAATGGAGCAGTGATGGTGGAGACTTTGAACTGGGAGACAAGGAGAGTCTAGAAACTTCTGACCCTAGCATGTTTCCACTTGGATCAGCCACTCTGGATCAGCCTGGCTTTTGTAAGGAGGGAAACATCTCATACAGGCCAGAGAAGGAGCTGCAAAATGTTGGGGATGGGTGCTAGCCTACAGTCCTTGTGATCTTCAGCACCCATTGGAGAACTTTGTGCAGTCAGCTGAATTACCTTGCCAGGAGTGGAACTGGAAGAATGCTTTATCAAGCTTTTATCAGATTTGTATCTTAATTGCTCTTTCAGCTATGGAAAAACTTGGATGTAGAAAAGCTTTGATGCTGCTGGTAAGTCCCTTACCAGACTTTGTGTGAACCATCCATGCTTGGCTACCTTCTGGGAAGGAGTTTCATATACACAGGATGGATGAGCTGAAATACCTTCTATGCTCCATGCTGTCAGTAGACAGCTAAGTCACTCAAAGGGCAGATACCCTGTGGGATCGGGCAGTATTGTTGTCTGCATATGTATGCCTACATTGCTTTCTCTTCAAAACTATCTTTCTCAAATGGCTGAAGAAAGGAAAGGTGTCATTTCAAATAAGTCCTGGTAGTGAACGGCATGCAAATTCCCTTCACTTTCATGTGGATACAAAGTTATCCACTTTCTTATCAGCAGTCAGAGATCTCTCTGTATTGAGAAAGCAACAAAATAAAGTTATGAGAAAATAAATCAGAGGATTTCAGAACATCAGTAACATTTGGAACTGTATGATTCTTTGTAGTAGGTGACTACTCTGAACAATTATGTAAATTGAGAATGTGTTTTGCCAAAAGTTCTGTAGCAATATGCTGCAGTAATGTTGAAGAACTTTAATTATAGGAGAATGAGCTTTATAGGGAGATAAGTGCTGTAAATATTTTGATTCATCAGTACTTAGAAGTTATGGTTATTCTGCAGTGTCTCTTTTTTGCAACCATCTGTCTTTATTTTCCCGACAAGGATGATATTATAGTGGTGGTTTTTGACAGTGTAGAAGATGTGATGTTGCAGCCTAATTTACTGTTAGTTTTTTTTTGTTTTTTTGTCTGAATGTTGTGCTTACTCAGGATGTGTCCTAAGAATGTGTACGTGTACTCTTTTCCCCCGTTGCCTAAACCCCATCCTTAATTTTTTTAACCTATTTGTGCCTACCTTCTCCTTTAACTGTTCAATAGGAATATGCTTCAAAAAATTTTCAGCATCAGTATTTTGGGCAACAGGGGGATTTTCCTTTCAAGGTATCATATCTAAGAATGGCTGAGATCTATTTCTGTTGTCTTGGTAAGATTTGATTTATATCCTGTATGGGTTTAGAACAAACAAAAAAAATAAAAGACCCACCAGAAAACCTGGCAGGTTAAGTGAAAACAACATTGCTTAGATTAATAATGCATTCTGAAGTGGACATGAGCAAGCTTATGGCCTTATTATGTCTGAAACATTTTCCATCAGGGTTCACTTCAGGTTAAATAAAGTACATAAAAAGGGCTACTGCCCTTTGTAAGCTAAACTGGAACTCTACCTGCCAAATCGAGACACAACAGATAAACACTGATGGTTGAAAGATGTCATCAGAATATATAGGATGCATTCTTTCCAAGTTTTGTTTTGAAATTCTGTTCTCTAAAATTAATAGCAAGTTTTTTTTGTTTTTTTTTTTTAGAATGTATATGTATAAATTACATTTATATGTGTATATTTTAAATCTATTTTTTCCCAAATTATAAGTAGAGAGTGGTTTTGAATGTATATCTTTTTCTATCTAGCACAGGATTTACAATGGTATCTTCAAATCAGTAACAGACAGTCAGAGGCTCAGTCCATGAGGGAATGCACCTTTTGCTTGTTTTTTGTCTTTTCTGTATTATATTTAGTTTTGAAAGCCCTCTTTCAGTCAAAGTGACCTTTATTTTAGTTGCATTAAAAAAAAAAAAAAGAAAAAGAACTGAGGTGATGTTTCTGGAAAAGTACAGTGACTTTGACTTCAGCAAGCTGTGGAGATCAAACGAGATCTCAAAAGCTAAAAGCTGAGCTTCTTTAGTGGGATAATAGTGTCTGTGTTGGGGATGTATTCCTTAGCTGAACTTTCTTTTCATTCTTCTTCTCCATTAGCAGAAAGCCCAGACAAACAAACAGGAAGGGAGCAGGGCTCCTTTCTGGCAAATCTTAGTGCATCAGAACTGCAGAGCGTGCTAAAAGCTTGCTATACCCCCACTGAGCTTCCCACCTTCAGTGAGGTTACATTAAAACATGCCCCTCATCTTTTGTGGTTTGTGGTGAGTTTTGCATGCAAGTACATCTGCTATATTGGCTCGCGAGAAAGCGCACAGGAAACTGAATGATGTAATACAGCTGTGAAATCTCATGCATCTTCTTTTAGTGCATGGGTTTTCATCTTCCTTACAGGGTCACAGTTAGAAGCAGGAAAAAAACCCTAAAAGTTGCTGAAAAGTAGGAAAGAACTGAGTGTTCTTTGCATGCATACTTATGGAGGATGACTATGAATGGAGAAATAGAAATGGGAGTGCATTTTTACAGCAAATAAATCAAACTGTAAAATGTGGGCAAGTCCAGCCATCTGATACATGCAGTTCTCTTGTACCAGCGTGACTGGACCCTCAAGGATGTATGCTGTTTGGATGCAAATGAGAGACACACTGAATATGAGAACAACTCATGCACAAAACTAGCACAGTACATACTTTCGCAGCTTCATATTTCCACAGTGTTCTGAGTCTGTCATAGTGCTCTGAACTATCTGTAAGGGTGGAAAGCTGTTAGACAAACTGAATTTATCGTATCTTCTATTTATAAATAACTGTTGTACGCTGGGCTTATACTGATTTAGTGATGCTGTTGAGTAAGTGAAAATAATTAAGGATGTAACACAGGCATATCCAACCTGCAGGCCACATGCAGCCCTGCCTAGCCTGTCCTGCTGCCCCCTGCCCCATACCATCATGGAGGTGGCTTGGTCCTGCTGAGTGGCCCTGCCCCCAGGCAAACATGCTTTGCTGAGCAACAACCAAACACCAAACATTTGGCCCCATCTGAGCTGAAACCAGAGCGCATGGAGGGCACAGTGCAGTGCTAACTAAAGTTATGACAAATAAGTTTATGGAACTTGATACATTGGCTAAGCGTTGTCTGGTGAAAAGCAAAAAATATGCTGCCGTGCTTTCTGTTTTGGTAAAGGAATTTGAGAAAGGTTTCAAGATTGCAAAAAAATTATCAAATTTTTGGTATATTTGCAACTCTGTTTTCAGTTGACATGAATACTTGCCAGTTTTCAAATGGAATGTATGGAGTTGTGATCAAAAACCCGATCAAGTCTCTTTATCAGACTTTTATAAGCTTTATCTTACTGGAGACATATATCTTATTTCACAGTCAGGTGTCAAGGATGAAGCACAGAAAGAATAAGATTTCATTTAAAATGTCTGATGGACACCTTGAGAGCTCACTAAGAACTGCAACCACTGCTGTCAAACCAGCCT